ACTTGTGCCACTAACTTTTGGACGACGAAACCTTTCCATCGACTAGTACAAAAAAATTAATAATAAGCGTGAACATATTTAAATAAAATGAGCGCATATGAGTACTTATAAAATGTCCATCCTTATAAATATTAAGATATAAATGATTTCAAAAAAACCATATAAAAATGTTGATTTTGAAAAAATAAAAAAATAAAAAATAAAAAAAGACATATAAAATGAGTCTCCATGTAAAAGCTTATTGGAAATTGAAAAATAAAAAACATGTGAAAACTAACCGATCAATCTATGTGTGCCTAACTCCCAAATACCACCATGAATAACTAAATATGAAAATTAGACTGGTGTGTAATAAATGTATAATAGAGTGATGTGTACAAAAAATACCCATTGAAAAATGAGTTATGTAGTTGACGATTAAATCATCCTTCATCATGATAAAAACGCGTCTATCAACAAGTGTCACCATCAAAAGAAGTAAATCGTATTGCTTTAGAATAAGAAATGTGATAGCCAGTCTTGCATATTTAACATTATTTATGAATTCTTACATCACCATAAACATAAATAAAACCTAATCTACATCGATCATATGGGTTTAAAATCATTTCATTGGATTTTTTTACATATGTTGAAGCAAAAATAAGTGAAAATATTTGACAATAGAGCTCATATAATGAAATGGTTGCTAATTAGAACCATTTGTGGGGGTTGAAAAAGTCAGTAGTTTCCATTGAAAGGATGAAACGGTGAATGACTTCTTGTTTGAACAAAACCTGCAAATTCGAATTTACGAAAAACATTTCTATTAATGAATCGTTTTCATTAATCATTCACCACTAGTCTATTATTTATGAGTTTTCTTTCACAAGTATATACAACACATTACACATCCATGATTTATGAGTGGATAAATGATTGTACGAAATGGAAATGGAATGAATGAGAAAAATGTCAAGCGTGAAGAGTCATGTCATTCGATTAATCAGAAGAATATCAAAATAAGGGGTTGGCATCCACCTGAAACTTGCTCAATGTGTTCGATGATTGATCAACTTGATGTACCTTTTTTTCTCAAATGAAAAGTCGAATTTGGTCATGATGTTTCCTTTGTGTTTTTTATTACCTTCCCATTATCTTCTCCAACTATAGAATTTGGTTGAATTTGATCAACCAGATGAAATTTTGTTTTTTTCTTGGATTTTTTGATATTGAATTTTGTTTTTGTTGTTTAAGACAAGAGAAAAGATTTGAAGGTGAAAGGGATGAAAAGTATATGCATTTTGGTCATTTTACTTTATTGTAATTCTTTATTCGAAATGAACATGAAGAGAAATATTGTCCAAGCATCCATTTTTGGCAGGAAGTTGCACCCCAAGACAAAGAAAAACGATTTATTCATCTTTGGTTACCAATTAAGGATAACATAACATCATTTTTATTTTATGTTTTTCATATATTTTTTTTTATCCAACTAACATTGATTTCAAGTTCTTAACAAGACTACAATGCCTTTCCATACTCCATACTTTTTTTTCTTTACAATTTCCATATTTTCTTATTTAGTCTTATCAAACAGCACGACTTTACCCTTCCACCAACTCAACAAGTTGTTTGAGAAAGTCTTCAACACACACACACATATATACATATTTATGGAGAGATAAAAGAAGGGGAGTAGAGTGGAATGGAATATAGATAAGTGTGGGTTGTTGGGTGAACATTGAGATGTGCTGGATTGCATTACTTTGTGCTTCTACTTGGAACCAACATTCAAGTTTTAGTTAGGTTTTTGGTATATTCTCTACATTTATTCTTCAAAACACCTATTTGGTTCACATCGTCCTCCTTCATGTTCATCTTCTGAAATATAAATCATGTACACAATGAATGTTATCTGCAATAACCCTAAATTATATAGAAACCAAAATTTTCACACTGTAAAACGTAAATCAGATACATTACACCCAAAACTCCCACAAGAACCCTAAATTATATTGGAACTGAAACTTTCAAACTGTGAAATGTAAATCAGATACACAACATCAAGTGCCCACGAGAACCCTAATCCATATTGGAGCCAAAATTCTCATATGTGAAACATAAATAAGATGCATCATACTGCATCCCAATGTCTATAAAATGTGTAATCTATTATATTGAAACTGAAACGCCCATACTGCAACTGCTGAAACTCAAACCCTCGTTTGCTTTTGAAAAGATACTATTGTACTCCAAATCTCCAAAAACCTAACTAACACTTGGAAAGACCCCAAAATACAATTTCATTACATGAAGTTAATTTAGTCGACATCAAATTCGATCTAGTACAAAGGTACCACATCACAATTGCTGCGTAGATAAATTGGCTACCACCTCTTACATCAACTCCTATTTCTTAGGCACACAACTTGAGCCACAATATTTTTGGCATTATCCATCAACTAGACATGTCATGTCCTTGCATTCCGATTCTAGGACCATTCATAGTGGGGAATGAAAATGTGGTGTGCAGATTCCATCAACATCGGCATCCACCACTCCCATTACAGATAATAAAATCGTATCTTTATATGGATCTCATGCCATAAACTACATCAAAGAACCTGCTTTCATAGTTTTTAGATGAATAATCAACAATTGTAAAAAAGTTGGGGAAATCTTTATACAAGTGGCGAGTTCTTACACAAACATATATCACAATCCCCATTGATCCCAACTAAAAAATGACATCTTTTTACTAGTGGAATGGGACAATCTTTCATTCATGTCGTGTAGTTGATCTTTAAGATCTTTGTTCTCTGTTAGCAAGTGATCGTATTCTACATGAAGCCCTACTAATTGGCTTTTTAGGGTACTGGAATTGGCTTTTCTAGACTGCACATCTTTTTCCCTTTTATCACATTCCAATTCCAGTTTTGTGATTCCTGTCTTCAACCTAGAAATCTCTTCTTTTATAGATTTGGCTAAATGTGCATTCTTTCTGTTGGTGTCTTCACAGGCCTGGTTTTGTTTCCTTGAAGCTGTTATGGTCTCTGTAAGTATAACAACTGGTTTAATGAACTGGTGTAGGCATTCTATCATCACCAATAGGAACAGTGAAACGCCTGCAAGTAATGATTTAAGCAGTAACATTATAATCAACACATATATTAAACTGATTTCCTTCCTTTTTAACAGTTCGAGATTACTTGACAATTCATGTAAGGTGGATTAATGCTAAATCTAAAGTAAATTGTCAACTAGAAATAGTCAGCTGATTGTAGGCATAGGAAAATATGATAGCAAGCCAGTCGAATGAAAAATATGATAGCAAGCCAGTCGCATGAAAGATCAATTTAGGCATATGATTTCAAACTAGGGTTTACGAAAGACATTTTTCTTGTGAATACTTGATTTAAATTAATTGCATCGAATTGGATATCACTCTCAAGAACAAGAAATCAAAGCAATTAGGGGGAGTGACGGAAGATTACCCATGAGAGAAGCTTCAAGGATACGGAAGGCGAGAATGACGCGATTGGGGGAATCGACGGCATCGGCGGAGCAGCTACGGATTTCCACTACGGTGTAGATATTGTACATCATTACTACGAACACGGTGGCACAGACAGATGTCACAGCCAATTGAGCTTTTCCTTGTTTGAATCCGTCTAAACCGACAACTAGGGGCTCTCGGAGTGGGGTTTTGAACAGAAGTAACAGAATGATCATCATTTCGGCGAATAAAACGGTGAATAACAGATAAATCATTGTATAATTGTTAAGAGCTACACGAGTGTGCAAAAACCCTAAACCGATCGATAGCCCACGACAACGTGTTCTTGAGTTCGAACTAGGGTTCATCAACCTCCGGCATTCCTGATCAACTAGAGAGGTGTGATCAAAAAAATGGGACGCGCTTTTGGTCAAGGTTGAGATTCCATTTCCAAAGGGAATTCTTTCGGATTTCTTGAAAATTTGAAAGGAATTTAATAAAAAAAAGATATATGACATAAATAACCAGATCCTCAATATATTCTTGCACTTATTGCTGATGAACAAATTATCAAAATATAAATTAAACTTTTTATTAGAAAAAAAATATTACGTAGAAAATTCAAAATAAAATAGTATTTTCTTTGTTATATTATATTCTATTAGGGAAATCTTTAGATAAAATCTCAAAGTTTTGCTCCAATTTATGGTTAAGTCCTAAGTTAATTTTCGTTAATGAAAAAGTGCAGGTTATCGGCTATTACATTCACTTTAGCCCTTTGATCCGATAACCTTTCTATTAGCCGGTTACCCAAGCTGCATCGACCTTATTACCTTCCGTTAACACTCCCCCATCACCCACCCCTCTGTAAAACCCCCTCCATCTGTAAAACCCCTTTCTTACCCTCCATCGAAGCCAAACCTTAGATCGAAAGAATCAACAATAAGAAAATCAGAAGAAATCCATGTCGTACTCCATTATCTTGTAATCTAAGTTTGTTTCCCTTAAAATATTCTGATTAATGTTTTGTTTTGTAGTGATAATGGAGATAGTAGATGACTTGGATACCATTGATGTGGAATTGGACGAGTTTTTCAAAAACAAACAAAGAAGTTGATGCAAAGATGAGTTCCTAAACACTCTCACTGAAGAAGCGCTTGGCGAATGCATCATACCTAAGATAAACCTACAGGATTTTGAAGGAATCTTAGAAGATGAAGCACAACGGGAGCTGAGTGAGGGTGACGATGAAGACAAATTGCAGTCTCTGTACACAACACATGATCCTAATGTGAAATGGAACAATATGAAGCCCGTTTGTGGGGAAAGGTGTGAATAACCACACCAACTAAAGCTTTGTTTGACAAATTACTCTATAAGTAGGGGTTATCCAATTAGTTTCAAGAAATGTGATAGTGTAAGGATTGTGGTTGTATGTGCAAGTGACCTAGATAAATTTCAATGTCCCTATGTGGTAAGGACCTCATGGATGAGCACTAAAAGATCACTCCAAATAAAAAAAATGGTGGAGCGACATACTTGTGTTAGGAATTTCCGTAGTGCAAATCTTATGGATCTCACATGGATAGCTAGGCAGTTTCTGAAGGAGATGGTTAGGAAACCAAATATGAAATGTAAGGAAATGCAAGCAATTATTCAAAGCAGATTCCATTGCAAGGTTTCATGGTCAAAATCTTATAGAGCAAAGTGTATGGAAATTTCTTTAATAGATGGAAAATTTCAGTGATCACTATGCAAAAGTATGGGATTATGGACATGAGTTGATGAGGTTCAATCCATGGAGTATAATTCAAATATATGTTACTATAAACCATGATAAGACTACTACTTTCCATAGAATGTATACATGCTTTAAGTATATCAAATAAGGATGGAAAGTTGGTTGTCGTAGAATTATTGGTCTTGATGGAAGTTTTTTGAAGGGACAGTGTAAATGTGATGTGTTAAATGTCATAAGGAGGGATGCAAATAACCATGTGTATCCCATTGTTTGGGTTGTAGTTGATATTGAGAACAAGCCCAACTGGAAGTGGTTCTTGGAACTATTACCAGATGACCTGGAATTACAAGGAGGTTTGGATTTGTGTGTTATTTCTAATCAACACAAGGTAATGTCTTTGATTAGCTTTAACTGTCATTTCATTTATACATGTATCAACTAGTTACTAATGAAAGGTGTTAATTTAATTGGTAGGGTCTTTTGGAAGCTGCAAAGGTTGTACTACCACATGTGGAGAATAGACAATATGCAAGACATGTATATGCAAATTTTAGAAAGGCCTTTAGTGGTATAGAGTTCAAGAATATGTTTTGAATAGTCTTCAAGTCAACTGTTGAGGGAGACTTCAAGTTGAATATGGAGAGCATCAGAGAAGTCAATCTTGCTGCTTATGATCATTTGATGGCAATGGAGCCTAAATCTTGGTGCATGGGATTCTATAAAGGTGGAATGGCCTATGAGGTTGTTGAAAATGGAATAGAAGAGTGTTTTAATGCCATCATACTTGAAGTGAGAGATGGCTTCTACTCATATGGAGTGAACTTAGAGAGGATGTATTGTACATGCAAACTTTGGGAGTTTTCTAGGATACCATGTGTCCATGCCTAAGCAACCATAATTTACACACAACAAGATCCAGGTAGATTCATCAACACATGGTTTGGTAAGGACAAGTTTTTAACTACTTATTGGTCTAACATACTTCCTGTTAATGACAGTAATATGTAGGAACCAACACCTTACACCAAACCACTACCACCTACTGAGAGAATGATGCCAGGAAGGCCTAGTATCAAAAGTAAGAGACATGTTTCTAAGCATGAAGACAGGTTCTTCCAAAGCTCCTCTAAGGGCAAAATTGTTCAATGTCAGAATTGTATGTAAATGGGGGACAATAAATTATCTTGCAAGAATCCCTCAGGTAACCCTAACCAAAGCCTAAGAAGAAAATTGGAAGGCCAAGGTTGAATCCAGATTTGACCAATTGCACAAGAGGTGGGAGAGGATCTAAAAAGGGTGGTAGAGGAGGTGGAATAGGTGGTAGAGGAGGTAGAAGAGGGAGTAGCAATATTTATGAGGAAGTTCAATGTTCTATTATACCCTGAAAAGGACTTGAGGTTGAGAGTGAATTTGTCCCCCAAACGGCACCTAATGTTGAGAGTGAAGCTATTTCCCAAACAGCAAATACTGTTGATAGTGAATGTATTCCCCAAACAAATGTTAAGATTAAGTTTGAAGGTGATGGTGTTGATATGGCTGATATGGATCAAATATTGCATGATTTGAGTTACATGAGAGAATTAAAATACAATGAAGTAGAGATCGTTTTATTTCTTGATATCACCAAGGAACAACTTAAAGAATTTGATGCTTTGCTTCAACAATCCAAATGAGTTCCAAAGGTATATTTTTTAACCTTGAGAGTGAATTTTATTTTCTAATAACATAACTAACTTTTATTGTTTTCCCATGCGAGGATGTGCCTTTTAAGAATCAACATGTAGCAAAATCTCAGCCAATCCCAAATGGAGTTAATAGAGTTGATGAAAAACAGGAGGAGAATGATGATGAAGATGGAGTTGATGAAACACAAGAGGATAATGATGAAGATAGAGTTGATGAAACACATGAGGATAATGATGAAGATAGAGTTGATGGAATTGATGAAACACAGGAGGATGATGATGATGAAGATGGAGTTGATGATACTCAATTTAGGGTTAGAGTTAGAACTAGAAAATCTACTTTTGAAGTTTTGCCACAAAGCTATTTAGTTTTGGAGTTTTCCACATAGATTTTAGATTTTGGCAGATTTAGTCTCGGTAATTTTTTAATTTACAGAAAAGGTCTTTGTAAATGTTTTTACAAAATCGGTCAGGATGTTTAAGATTTTTGTATGTTGGCAGCTTTGGCCTCTGTGTAGAAAATAAATTACAAAATTGTCCAAGTAATTTACGAAAAAAAATGTCATTGTGTATTTTTTTATAGAATTAGTACATGTGTTTAAAAAATTAAAAAATAGTCCCGACCTAATAGAAAATTTGTAAATTACACCCCCACGCCCCCCTCACACAATATATTACCATTTTCGTCCCTATACTTTTTTGGCTTTACGCTTTTGCCACATGACTTTTGTTATAGGTTTTCTCCTTACACTTTTGGTGTTACTCACGTTAAGTCCCCCCGTGCAACGGGGGTAGTAATTTACTAGTTAATTAAAATTATAGGAATAGGAAATGTGAAGCACCATGTTTCATGGTAAAACCAATTGAACAAAAAGTTTGTAAAATATTTTAACAAGTTGAATCATGTTTTTATTTGTGTTGCCACTTTGGATCTAACTTTTTTTTTTTAAGAATGGATAACACATGCAATCACTATTCAACTTCTAAATTTACATCTTTTGTCTCAAACGAGACTTGAACTCTAACGCCTGTTTTCCAGGATGGATCGGTGGAAGGATATGAGGGATCAAAGGTAAGGTTTTTGGGAAAAACCTTGTGCCACGACATGGTGAATAGAGAACCACCAGTCGACATGCGGGACATCACCACGTCGTGGTGAGCATTGACCTAGTTGACCATTGACCATTAACTTTCAACCAGTTTAACTTTGAGTCAAACTTGAAGGACTTAGGTTATTGATTAAGGATTTGTCTTTGTTTGGTGCTAGTCAGTTTGGGGGGCGATTGGTACAGGGAGTGAAGGCGATCTGTGTTTCCTTAGGTCATCGATTCAGGTGAGTTTCCTCACTATACTATGTGTTACATTATATATCCTTGTATCTTAGGATATAGGAGTAGTGGTATGCTAGTTAGAGTACCAGGGTTCGATGATCGTTAATTGAGTTCCCTAGGGGTTGTATGCGGTCATGTAGGATAACCTGAGAACTCTTAATCCAGGCTTTCTTGCATATTCCTTGTTTGGTTGTGGCTCTAGAGTGGGATCATCTGTTCGACTGTCTATTTCACCTCTTATTACATATGGCTATACATTCATTAGTGATCTGCCAGTAGTGACATAGAGTACTATATGAGGCTCGGTATGTTGTAGTGAGTTTTTAGACATGTAGACTAGTGTATATAGTTGCATGTGCTTTAAGTTCTTGTTTGAATGCTTGTTTAGTTTATATGTCGACATATCAGGTGGTGGATTCAGGCGGTCATGATTTGTGTTGTAAGCTAAGATACCCGGGCGGGCCAGCAGTATTCTGTAGGCCATGTGTGGACCAGTTGTATGTTGTTGGCACGGTAGGGGGTCGGTCGTTGATTGGAGGCCCAGGTGAGCGGTCTAGGTGTATTGTAGGCCTCGCGAGGCGGTCTAGTCATACTAAAGGCTTGTATGTGTGCATGCATCATATGTGTATTGTGGTGTGTGGTATTTTGGGGGATCTCACTAAGCTTTGGCTTACAGATGTGGATTAAATGTTTTTCAGGTACCAGTGATGATCGTGGGAAGGCGAAGGCATGACTGTACACACTCATCAGCGGAATTGAAGATTCCGCATTTATTATATTACTCTAATTTTCAAGCAATTGTATTTTGGAACAAATGAGTTTTCTTAACCAGAGTTTTTGAAAATAATATTTTATCTTAGTTAAAAATGAATTTTGTTTTTGTGAAAATGGGATGTTACATGTGATGGGTTTTGAGCATTACAACAATCCTATGGTGCATATGCAAACTCTAAAGCTCTAGATCTAGGTTTTCTAATTATACATGCAATAATCTTCCAAAGCTTGTAAACCCTAATACTAGCATACATATTTTGAAAATCACATATGATTAGGGTTAGAAACTTTACCTCTCTTGTTATGTAGCAATAACAAGTTCAATCCTTCTTGATCTTGACTTCTGAAAGCCTAGTGCCCCAAGTGTTGCACCTCTAATGGAGTCACAAACACCCAATGCAAGAAGATGACTTAGGAGAGAGGTGAAATCGGCTAGGGCAACTCAAAGAATACATAGGGCCGAATTTCACATGTTGAGGAGTTTATTTATAGTTGAGGCTATTAGGGTTTTAAGGTGGAAACCCTAATTTCCTTGCTTAGGCCTTAAACAATCCATGAAGCCCTTCGAGAAGGCCCCCTTGGACGAAAACTTTATGGACTTCCATAGATTTCATCCAATCCCTTCTATTAGGAATCCATAGCCCAACTAGCAACTATCAGATAATTGCAATATCAGTCCTCTTTATTTAATCAGTCTCTTTTGATCACCAAATTAATTCCTAATCAATATTAATTAAATAATATGATTTCCAAATAATATATTAAGCTTGTAATATATTAATAAAATCATTTTGAGTACTAATTTATTATTCATATAATAAATCCTACTCTCTCTCTCTCCATTTGTCATCCTATCAAATTGCATGAGTGAAGGCAACCCAAAAGGACCATGCTCATAATCAAATCAAGTACATACCAAAAATAGTTATGGGCTTAGACACCTAATCCAATAGTCTCCCACTTGGATAAGTCTAATAACTAATATTGCAAGTACAACTTCAGAATCTGATTAGCAGTCGTAGCTTTCAAAAGCCGTTGTCGAACTCTGATCTTATCAGTATCACGTCGTTTGGATAATAGATCAAATATTCCTCCATTCTAGATATCGTATGGACATGAGACATGGATTATAATCATTCTCTATGTCCATGTGTTGTTTCCTGATTTCCGATTTATGACGACTGACAACAGACTACAATTGAACACATCAACTTAGTCCAGGCTTGGCCAAGCGCTTAGGTTTGTCATCACTAAATCATCGAGGGGCCCACATATATCGCTTTTATCCCACATTGGGTAAAAGGAACGGATAAACTTCGACTCATATGCTTGTACTATTTACTCATCAAATCACACACAACAATACGTTTTATAACATCAAGTTACTGATGCGTTTACGTATTATCAATGTGCAACCGACTCGTAAAAAACAACTCATATGTCTCCGTTTCAAGAATATAAGATATTATCGTCTCACAATCACTAGTGATAAAATCCATGAAGTGATTCACGTGAGCGTGGGTTTAATCTAATACTCAAATCTTATTTCAGGAGTACTCATGAACACTGCAACAAACTTTTGCTATGTCTAAACACTTTAGGCAATCTACAGTCGGATTCATGACAACCTTAACTCATTTCTTACTTCCAAAGTATGATTAACTGTGGATGTTTGAATAATCTTATTATTCGGGAAGTCAAAACATGCAAAATGAAACACAAGAATAATTGAATCCAATATGGTCTCAACACTTTTGAGTATAAATAAAACACTTATTATTTAATCATCATATTGATTACACATTATTCATTGCATAATGTTTCGAGTAATCAACTTAATACTTGAATTAAAACAATAGTTATCCCATGCTCCAAGCGTGCACACTATGTTTATCTATGGTCCTTTCTTTATAAAATAGATCAATTGAAAACATTTCCAATGATGCTCATTTCAAAATTCAAAATCCTTATCACAAGTGTAAGAATACTAAATTCTTGCCACTATTAGAATGTGTTAGATTTGTAGTGACATAAGAACATGGTTTGGCATGCGGAATTAAAGATTGCACAATGAACATGGTGATTTGGGTGTTCAAGAGATGTATTGATTGTATATGGTGTTATACAAAAAGGATCTAGATCTAGACTACATAAATAACACACACTTACACACTCACTTTTACATCTCTCAAGCACACCTCTACAAGTGGACTAAACCCACCTTATATAGAGGTGTTTACATGTCTCTCTCTCACTCTCTATCACTCATGTATCACAAGGCTAATACACCACATGCAAGTGGGTTTTACAAAAGTCAAACATTACAAAGTCATTCAAGGAAAACTTTGTACCCCAACATTCTACCCCTCAAAGTTAGGAATGAATGACCCACTTCAAATCTTCCAAAATCGAGCAACTACGCAATCCGAGCCTCAAGCGTGACACATGTCAAAACGAACTTCAATCTTCAATTCTTCCATGATTCTTCAATTTGGGCTCTAGGATGTGAAACCATACAAACCGAGCATCAACGAATGATCACGAGCTTCTCAAACTCCAAATTGATCACCAAAAGTTGAGCAAAAAGCACACCCCAAAAATCTTCAATAAAACCAAACCCATTTCGAATACATCACTTCCAAACTTCCAATTTCATCATTTCGTATACTTCAAAAATCAAGGTCACTTCGGTCTTCAAATCCGCGTAATATGAAAAATTCAAGTTCGAATTTCCATATAAATTTCTCCCCTTTTTTATAATCGAAATTTGATTATAAAACCTTCAAGGAATGAGAACGTGCTCTATTCGGAATTTTTCATGTCAAAACTCCCCCTTAACATATGGCATAAACTTTGTGCTTCAATCCAGAAAATCCAAAAAATATTGAATTTTTAGCTTCGTTCACGGATCGCCTTTGACAAAATTTCTCAAAAATGGGTAGAAATTGTCAATTTCAAAATTCTGCAGTGACCCGGTGCGCCCAAAACATCAAAATATGCAAAACTCTCCCCCTTTTCCAAAGCTGGGTAGAAATCGTCAATTTGCACAAACTGCAGGGGCTTGAAATGCATTTTCTTCAATTTTCAGCAAAAACAGTACTTTTTCGAATTTGGGTATGAACCGCCAAACATTCGAAGTCTCAGGGACTATTTTCGAAAATTCTGCCATTTGTGTTCCAAACATACGAAGAGTTGTCCCAAACATTCGAAATTTCAGAAAATTTTCGAATTTGGGTGAAAAGTGTCAAACATTCGAAACTTCAATTAATTGATGAGGTTGCCAA